GGTACAGGTAAATAACAAGCAAACTTCTTAACAGTACTGAATTTTACGCAGTGGATAATTCTGAAAATTGACTGAAAGACTGAAAATGGCTTAATTATTTATTGTTCATTCTTTTAAAGAACGGTTCAGACCAGAATGTCGGATCGTTTCAAATCAAACTGGTTCATTAGTTGAATCAAACTGTACCATTTAAATCATTCCAAGACCAATAACTCTGTATTTGGCAGATTGTAGCTTTTCTACTAGCAGTCTTTGGTAAAATACGCTGAACCAGTATGGATTAAAGAAAACGAACGACACAATTTAAAAAATTCTCATGTACATTCATGCGCGTTAGATATTACTACAATCTAAACAGAAATCGTAAAGAAATCATAAAGAAATCGTAACTGATTTTTTTTTAGCCAATTAATACTTTTCTCTGCTTGTTGTTTATTTTCCATAATCAACGTGTGCTCTGCGTATTCTCCAACTGTTTAAATACAAATTTAAAAAAACAACACAAATCAAACTCGACAAATTCAGCTTAGAATCTTTACTTGGTGTACATTTTTGTGATTGCATGATTAACAAGGTTCCGTTGGAATATACTCATTTGTATTTTTATTTAAGATAAGTCGTCAATTCTTTATTTTAAATTCAAATGGCATGTCTAAATCAATGTTTCCTTGTCGATGGATATTTGGTAAAATTACAAATAGTCTCACCGATTTTTAGATTTTATACATAATATGAGTTTATTGTTTGTCAATGTTTTATTTCTTCTAGACAAGTTAGTCAATACACAGAGTGAGATATGTCTTCTAATGTAACACCAAAGTCTTGCAAATCTTACAACTTTATTTCAAATATGGAAGTTATGACAAATTAATGTACAGAAAAGATCGACGCTGAATGCCGATGTAGACATATTAAAATTATTTTTACAAAATGTATTGGAAAAAAAAGATATTCGTTTTTTTATTTTCTTATTCATTAGAAATCGTCAAAAATATGCAGAACACTGAACCGCTTCTTAAGTTTTTCCTGACGGTGTAGAACCACTTATTTGGATCGGCCAGAAAAAACACGCAGGGAAGAAATAAATATTTTAAACAAAATAGTTCCTATGTATAGCTGCAAATATATAAACAAGTAAAAATTTTGGGTAATTTTGGTATTTTTCTTACCAGAAAAAAATATGTAGAGCAGTCTCAATTCCTCTTGCATAGATCTGACACGGAAAAGTGGTGCCCATTTTGATAAAACTTAAGTTTCAAATACCACATTCAGATTTTTAAAAAAGAACACATTGAGATTAAAAAGTTCAAAATACACACTAGGAATTGATAATTACACAATGGGAATAAAACAAAATACATCATGAGAATTAGATATGTCACCCTGAGATTAAAGAAAAATAAAAAAGCAACACACTCAGAATTAAAAGTTACACACTGAGATTTGTGCGCACATTTTATGCTCGCATATTACTTTGGCATACCTAGGGTGCGTTTAGATATGTATCTGCGGTTAACTTTAGTTACTCAAAAGAAACCTTTGGCACTTCTTTATTTTTTTAATTCAGCTGCAAAACTTAAATAATCTTTATATAAGAATAACACTGTAGTTCAGTGTTTCTGCTGCTTCGGTGTTTTCCTCTTATAGTTGATGTTTTTCCCTCGGTTTTAGTTTGTTACCTGGATTTGTTTTTGCTGAATCGAATTATGACTATTGAACAGCGGTATACTATTTATGCCAGAAATGTTCAGAATAATGTTTTTTTTAAATATCCAGGAAACATTTACTGCAATTGCAAAGTAAAGACGATGTTTGAAATTACTCCGACCGACAAATGGGGAATTGGCGGCATTATTCATCCAATCAAAGGTGGTGTTACATATCACATTGAACTAATATCAGAAATACATGTGAAAATGCATGATGACTTTTATAATTGTAACATAGTTTAAAAAAAAGATTTACAGAAGGGTTATTTTCTATTCAAAAACCAAGCAGTGGAAGTGTGGAAAATCCTTCCAGACAGCGTTGCAATAGCAAAGAATGTGAAAACTTTTGAACGTCGTCAAGACAAAAATTGGAGCGTACATTTCTTAGATGACTTTTTCACTGACAGCACTGGAAGAAGCGAATGTATAAACAATGATGAAAAACAGAAGCAAATTTATGGGTCTCATCTTATCTCCCGCATTTGGGAAAACTTCTGTAGACTTAGGTCAATTATATTCCACCAGCTTTATAACCATTTTTTAGAAGTGTTTTGCCTTTTAACATGCAGTGCATATAAAATTTTACAAGTATTAATAATTTCATTTATCTGTTGAATTCTTTTATAAATTCAGATTTACCTTACAGCTTCAAACTAAATGTGTTAAGATAATCTCATCTGTATTCAGGTATATTGAACTAAGAAGGGTTCACTAAACAGCAACCGAGTTTCCGGGATAGTACAGTATAACAGTTCTATCTGCATCTTAATGACACAATAATACAACTTTGCTTAACATGAATGTTCTACATAGTTAAACGTTATAAATGGTTTGTTGCACGTATTATAGAAAGAAAAACTGACATATGCGACTCAGTTTGAAGCAAATCCAACGCATTGGGAACGTCTTAATTACGTAACTAGAAAATCTAATAAAGTTGGTGACGATTATCTAGTGACCCATTTCAAGGACTTAATTGACAGCTAAATTGATCTTAATTTCCTGGAAAATTAATCCTTTCATGTAGAAAATTGGAATTCGGAGTAAATTGACAAATCCTGGTTTATTTACTTTTACTTGATTTATATTCTTTCGAATATCAAAAGATTTTTGAAGTGGAATGACGCGACTTTCTTCGTTTGAAATAGTTATGTATGTGAAAAGTATTGCAACTGCAAACTTATAGATAAGATTAAAATACCCTATTATTAGAACATACATCAGCTTTTCCATTCTGTAGAGGCAGAGTTATTGGACTTAAACGTGATATGTGATAAAATTGAGAATGGAAATGGGACAAAAAGAGACAACAACCCGACCAAAGAGCAGAAAACAGCCGAAGGCCACCAATGGGTCTTCAACACAGCAAGAAAATCCCGTACCCGCAGGCGGGCTTCAGCTGGCCCCTAAATAAAAATGTGTACTAGTTCAGTGAAAATGGACGTCATGCTAAACTCCAAAACATATAAATGAACTAAAATTAAAAAACATACAAGACTCTCAAAGGCCAGAGGCTCCAGACTTGGGACAGGCGCAAAAATGCGGCGGGGTTAAACATGTTTTGTGAGATCTCAACCCTCCCCTATACCGCTAGCCAATGTAGAATAACCAAACACACAACACTATGCACAGTAGATAGACTTACGGGAATTTCACATTTAAAGCAACTTAAGGTTTGGTCCACACTGTTTTTGATTGAAAGCCCTCCAAAATAGACAAAATGTACGCCACAAACATTTGTCAAGTAGGTATACATTATTATTCATTTGTTTGAGTTGTCGTCTTGAAGTGTACCAAATAAATATATGCGTGTTTATGATTTATGATTTTTAGCCTCAATCAGTGCATTCTTCCCTCTCTCAATTCACTAACAGATCCTATTCTACTTCCAATTTCCCACATTCAATCCTGATATTCGTCATTCTGCAATTGCATAATTATAAACTACTGGTCAATGAGTAGTCATTTTCATTTTTCTAAATTCTAACTTCTGTAAAAATTACTCGTATAATAGTGCTGTTTTTTTTTTAATTTGATTACGATATGTATACACAAAGAAAGAAATTTTAAAACTTATTTACAAACTAATTAAATATATATAACTAACTAATAAATTACGACCTTGTAACTCGTATAAAATAAGGAGATGTGGTATGATGGCCAATGAGATAACTATCCAACAAAGTCCACAGAAAACGGATTTAAGCAACTATAGGTCACCGTACGGCCTTCAACAATGAGCATAACCCATACCATATGGTCAGCTATCAAAGGTATCGACGTGACAAAACATGAAAAAATTCAAACGAAAAATCAAACGGCCTGATCTATGACAATTGAATATAAAAAAAAACAACAACGAACGGCAACCACTGATTACAGGTTTATGACTTGGGACAGGCACAAACTGAATGTGGCAGGGTTATACATGTTTGTGAGTGCTAAATCCTCCACTTATCTTAAACAGTGGTATTACAACACAACCAAAAATTAAACTGTAAAAATCATTTGCGACTTTTTTTATCGTAGAAGCTATAGTATTTTTGCTAAGATCACATTGATAAGAAGTTTTCGAACAATACAATTATGAAGTTCGTGAAATTCTGATTGTTTCACACCCATGTTTGTTAGATCATTCTTGAGTTCACGATGGACTGACTCTAATAATCTTTATTTACCAAAGTCATAACAACTATAGGCATACAACATATAAACTACACACAGTATACATAGATAGCAGAAGGTAGTGTGAAACATTACAACATGTTAGATCTTAATTTTTGTGCACGAAATATAAATTTACCCAAATTACATAATTCTCTAAGATTATTAGAACTCATTAATTGTATATATTTATACATGGAAGGTTTTCTCCAATAATAAGGTTTGATAAAATAAGATCTAAGACCTAAGTGGGACATTTTAAAATGAAATGCATCTCATCTTCAATGTCATTTTTACAAAAACAACATAGTCTATTATTTCTTGGACTTGCAGAATAGCGTCCACATTCTATAGCTAAATCATGACTACTAAGTCTTATTTTGGTAATACGTGTCTTATAAATAACTGGTATTGGTTTACATAAGTAATCAGACTCAGAATACTGTATATTTATAATTTCTCTCAGTTTAGAAAAACCGTCTTATTCTCTTTATGCAGGTTTATCATATTTTTGAAATAAATATATTAAATCCCATTTTCGAAGATTGTACATGAAGGTGGTCCAAATGAAGTCTTCTTGGGCGTAATACAGGCTGTATTGTGTTCTTTGGTGGAATAGAAGATGGGATGTGCTCTTGGGCGATTACAGGCTTTGGTGGAATAGAAGATGGGATGTGCTCTTGGGCGATTACAGGCTTTGGTGGAATAGAAGATGGGATGTGCTCTTGGGCGATTACAGGCTTTGGTGGAATAGAAGATGGGATGTGCTCTTGGGCGATTACAGGCTTTGGTGGAATAGAAGATGGGATGTGGTCTTGGGCGATTACAGGCTTTGGTGGAATAGAAGATGGGATGTGCTCTTGGGCGATTACAGGCTTTGGTGGAATAGAAGATGGGATGTGCTCTTGGGCGATTACAGGCTTTGGTGGAATAGAAGATGGGATGTGCTCTTGGGCGATTACAGGCTTTGGTGGAATAGAAGATGGGATGTGGTCTTGGGCGATTACAGGCTTTGGTGGAATAGAAGATGGGATGTGCTCTTGGGCGATTACAGGCTTTGGTGGAATAGAAGATGGGATGTGGTCTTGGGCGATTACAGGCTTTGGTGGAATAGAAGATGGGATGTGCTCTTGGGCGATTACAGGCTTTGGTGGAATAGAAGATGGGATGTGCTCTTGGGCGATTACAGGCTTTGGTGGAATAGAAGATGGGATGTGCTCTTGGGCGATTACAGGCTTTGGTGGAATAGAAGATGGGATGTGCTCTTGGGCGATTACAGGCTTTGGTGGAATAGAAGATGGGATGTGCTCTTGGGCGATTACAGGCTTTGGTGGAATAGAAGATGGGATGTGCTCTTGGGCGATTACAGGCTTTGGTGGAATAGAAGATGGGATGTGCTCTTGGGCGATTACAGGCTTTGGTGGAATAGAAGATGGGATGTGGTCTTGGGCGATTACAGGCTTTGGTGGAATAGAAGATGGGATGTGGTCTTGGGCGATTACAGGCTTTGGTGGAATAGAAGATGGGATGTGGTCTTGGGCGATTACAGGCTTTGGTGGAATAGAAGATGGGATGTGCTCTTGGGCGATTACAGGCTTTGGTGGAATAGAAGATGGGATGTGCTCTTGGGCGATTACAGGCTTTGGTGGAATAGAAGATGGGATGTGCTCTTGGGCGATTACAGGCTTTGGTGGAATAGAAGATGGGATGTGCTCTTGGGCGATTACAGGCTTTGGTGGAATAGAAGATGGGATGTGGTCTTGGGCGATTACAGGCTTTGGTGGAATAGAAGATGGGATGTGGTCTTGGGCGATTACAGGCTTTGGTGGAATAGAAGATGGGATGTGCTCTTGGGCGATTACAGGCTTTGGTGGAATAGAAGATGGGATGTGCTCTTGGGCGATTACAGGCTTTGGTGGAATAGAAGATGGGATGTGCTCTTGGGCGATTACAGGCTTTGGTGGAATAGAAGATGGGATGTGGTCTTGGGCGATTACAGGCTTTGGTGGAATAGAAGATGGGATGTGCTCTTGGGCGATTACAGGCTTTGGTGGAATAGAAGATGGGATGTGCTCTTGGGCGATTACAGGCTTTGGTGGAATAGAAGATGGGATGTGCTCTTGGGCGATTACAGGCTTTGGTGGAATAGAAGATGGGATGTGCTCTTGGGCGATTACAGGCTTTGGTGGAATAGAAGATGGGATGTGCTCTTGGGCGATTACAGGCTTTGGTGGAATAGAAGATGGGATGTGCTCTTGGGCGATTACAGGCTTTGGTGGAATAGAAGATGGGATGTGCTCTTGGGCGATTACAGGCTTTGGTGGAATAGAAGATGGGATGTGCTCTTGGGCGATTACAGGCTTTGGTGGAATAGAAGATGGGATGTGGTCTTGGGCGATTACAGGCTTTGGTGGAATAGAAGATGGGATGTGGTCTTGGGCGATTACAGGCTTTGGTGGAATAGAAGATGGGATGTGCTCTTGGGCGATTACAGGCTTTGGTGGAATAGAAGATGGGATGTGCTCTTGGGCGATTACAGGCTTTGGTGGAATAGAAGATGGGATGTGCTCTTGGGCGATTACAGGCTTTGGTGGAATAGAAGATGGGATGTGCTCTTGGGCGATTACAGGCTTTGGTGGAATAGAAGATGGGATGTGCTCTTGGGCGATTACAGGCTTTGGTGGAATAGAAGATGGGATGTGGTCTTGGGCGATTACAGGCTTTGGTGGAATAGAAGATGGGATGTGGTCTTGGGCGATTACAGGCTTTGGTGGAATAGAAGATGGGATGTGCTCTTGGGCGATTACAGGCTTTGGTGGAATAGAAGATGGGATGTGCTCTTGGGCGATTACAGGCTTTGGTGGAATAGAAGATGGGATGTGCTCTTGGGCGATTACAGGCTTTGGTGGAATAGAAGATGGGATGTGCTCTTGGGCGATTACAGGCTTTGGTGGAATAGAAGATGGGATGTGCTCTTGGGCGATTACAGGCTTTGGTGGAATAGAAGATGGGATGTGCTCTTGGGCGATTACAGGCTTTGGTGGAATAGAAGATGGGATGTGCTCTTGGGCGATTACAGGCTTTGGTGGAATAGAAGATGGGATGTGGTCTTGGGCGATTACAGGCTTATGGGTATGACTTTGGAATCGCATATCATTACAAAAAAAGTCATGTAAGCAAATATGTAAACTTAATTTACTTACATGCTAGATAATATATATACAAGATATAAAACAACAATGAGAATAGTCTGATTGTTATTCATTGTGTCCATTAAATGCTGACAATGTCATTTCTTTTGAAATTATTACCAACCCATCCACAGAAGATGATAACAGTTATATCAGATAAGGTAACGTAACAATTACGTATTTATACGGCAATATTTCTATCAGATGATGTAACGTAACAATTATGTATTTATATGCCATCATGTATATCAGATAAAGTAATGTAACAATTATGTTTTATATGCCAGTAGACCTATTACAGAATGTCGGCAAATGAGGGTTATTGGATCAGACAGAGTTTATTTTAATGGGTATAATGAATTCGTTGTTCTTATATATAAGGATAAATGAGAACGGAAATAAAAAAATAGTTGCCTTTAAATAGACCGAAATATGGTTTATCGATACTATGAATATTTGACCTTATATTCGCTTTGTTTATCATTTATTCATTGATTGTGTTTAGCAAATTTACATGCATATTCTGTTCGAAAACTCATCAAAGGTTCATGCAATGAGTAAGTTCTGCTTCGTCGGTTGACCAGAATTAAGGTGGGAAATTTAGACTGCCATTGGAAAATTGTGGGTGTTTTTGTATCAGGCCAGAATTGTGTATGGCATCAGGTCACTTACATGTGGAGCAGGATCTGCTTACTCTTCCGGAGCACCTGAGATCACCCCCAGTTTTTGGTTGGGTTCGTGTTGCTTAGTCTTTAGTTTTCTATGTTGTGTCATCTGTACTATTATTTGTCTGTCTGTCTTTTTATTTTTGGCCATGGCGTTGTCAGTTTGTTTTCGATCTGTGAGTTTGACTGTCCCTCTGGTATCTTTCGTCCCTCGTTTACAAACCTCTCAAATATTTTTGCAAAGGTTCTTTAACTTTGTGAAGAAAACGTGTCACCCACACTACAGGAGGCATCGGATTTAACATAATCATTCCATACGGACGTTACTGCGTATCTATACACATCAAACAGCCAAACTCACACCCTTCTGTCGTCAAAATCAACGTTTTATTTCTGTAATCTAACTAAAACTTAGGTTCAAATCCTCTGCCAGAGTTGATCTAACACGGGTTTTACTTATCTGTCACAGGCAAAGGCACAGGCACTTTTCTCAGAACTATTTTTACCTATTAAGGTTAGTATATAGTACAGTAGCAGTGAAGTACGTACTGCAACCTTTATCCTGCGTGTACTTGGTTTATGCCTACATCTTTCCTCAAGTAAACAATAAATAAATAAATATGCTGATTATATACCAGTTACAGCTTCTTAGGAGGACACCAGTAAGCTATGTTTTTGCAATAAAAGAAAAAGGGCTTTTGCGATTACAGTTGTTCTCTTTTCTGGTACGCTAGAAAAAAGTATACTAGAAAATGAATTGATGAAAACGACTACCTTTCCTAACAGATGTATTTTTTTCATATTTTGTTCCAATCGAAATAATCCCTTTCTTTTTCACAACCCAAAAAGTACACCCAAAGGAATTTACTCGCATCAAACATTTTCTACGTGGAAAGAAAATAGCTTATTTCTCATACTAAAAGATTATAAAAGTTTAAGGTAAGGGTTTTAGTCTTATGATAAAATATGTTTTGTTTCCTGATATTTACTTAGTGTGGGAGGTATAAAAGTTTAAACAATCGTTGGTTTATTGTAAGAAAGTGTTAATAATATATATCATTTTGAAATTTTCATTCAGTTTACGAGAAATTATATTTGTTATACTTTCAAATTTTCTTCAATAAAAACAAACCCACACTATTCGTTTGATAATTAAAGAAAGTTCCCATGCGCTTAAGTAAAACAGTGTTAATATGTCTCTCTCTTGGTATTCTATCTTTTATATTGCATTAAAATATTCAGTAATGGGATGGATCACAACCATTGTTCTAAACGAATATGCAATGATATTGTCTGGTAAAAACATGAACTCAGCATTTCTCTTCGTCCACAACTGTATTTTTATATATTAAGAAACTTTTATTTGCTTTTACTGTTTCAACAGTTTTGAATGATTATACACCACTGAATATTAATTTATAGGTAAAGATGTAAAAGGATCCTCGGTATAAACGATAAATAAGACTTTCTGTGTAAATTTTATTTAAATTATTTTACGGTGTTTTTTATTTAACGAAAATTCATTCCATTCATGTCGCAAATGTGAGTTTCAGGTGCTATATCTATACTTCATTGCAACGACATTATATTCTGAGATTCCTTTATTTGCTGTTCTTCGTCTCAAAACACAATGACCATTCAGCATGAGACAAAAACGTCCACCTCAATGCAAGAGCATGACGGCCTCTAGATACTTTTGATTTGTTTTGTATTGGCCTATTAATATGTTTTGTTTAGTTTTGAAAACGAATTTGGCATTTTTATTTTATCGTTAATTTTGTTTATTTGTTTTGTTTTTGTTCATTTGTTTAAAATATAAGTCTGGTTACTTGTATGGTGACCGTCATGTGATATCTTCCTGATACAATTACTACCTAGAACTCATTTACATTTTGAGATTTTAAGGATAATTTTTTTTTCGGTTTTCTACTTATAGGCTTTGTTCTGTAAACCCGTCGTATATTTCAAACCGAATCCGACAAAGTATTGCTGATATTTTCAAAACATTCATTGCATCACTCAATCGTGCACTCAATACACGAGAAACAGACTGTCTTGTAAACAATTGAATATAAAGAGCAAACGTAGTGCGATTTACATACAACTAACCTTGAAACAATATAATACGATATTCGCACCATTAATTCTCTGCAGTTCAATTTGAAATTGAATAATAAAGCAATGATACAGAAATCCTGATGCAAATGGAATTTATTTTTATTTATTCATTCTCGTCCTGTTTATAACTGGGATTCTCTACCATAGTCGGTACCTAGTGCCTTTAGTAAAGTGATATATAGTGACTGTTCAAGGGATAGACTACTAGTGGTTTAATAGGAATTTTGAAACAACGCAAACATAGATGAATTGACTACTACTATAGGTAATTCTGATAATTTGCAATCTTTTTATTTGCATATTGCATGTGATATACGGCATTTATGTGAGTACTACGTTTTGAATATGACATATATTTTTATATATATATGTGTGCCACATATCATATTTCAATGAGATAGAAAATCAACAAAACACCAAAATTCAAAAGACATATGGGTGTTGACGTATCGCTTTCTACAATAGTGAAGTATGAATAAACGAAGATGCGTGGTCAATAAAACAACAATCAAACGACACATATATACTAATGTCCAGAGGGTTAAAAAAAAATGTGTCGATACAAAATTTCAATAATAAAAGTCTATACGAGATGTGAATTTTAACAGAAACAATCAAAGATCTACCATTAAAACACAATTTTTCAAATAACGAAAAGCATTATATTCAATATGGTTGAACAGCTCTCATATCATCGCAATGAAATGACATAAAGTGTTATTTTCCAATTAATCAGAGACTATAGTCACGAACAACAAAAGTAAAAATCGTCAATATCGAAATCGACCTTCATTTTGTCATCAGTAACAGCACATCAAAATTTGAAAAGCATTCAATTTGGTTGACCAGCGCTCATGTTATTGCAGTGAAACGACGACAAGTTTCACTTTCCAGTAATTCAAGTCCCGAAGAGCAAATGTGAAAATCGTTAATATCGAACTTGACCTCCATTTTGTCATCAGTAACAACATATTAGAATGTGAAGAAGTATTGGTTGCACGGTTCATATCAGTTATTGCACGGAAACAACTTGAGCTGCTCTAATACTTAAACCCGCAGTACAATCCAAAATCAATAACCGGATTTCCGTCGAAAAATCGGTTAATAAAAACGGTGAGTCGTAAGAACTCAAGTGCCCCGGTAGATTAAGCGTTTTTTTGCTTATAGTAAATCTGCACTGTGTGTTTCCAAAAAAATCAAAACGAATATATCAAAATAAACAAACTAGATACCATATAGTAATAATATTAGAAAAACTATGCTTCTAAAAAAAAGAAAAAAATGAAAAGAAACTTTCCAATCTGATTAAAATACAGATCCTATGTCCAAGCTTTGCTTACAAGGATCTAGCAGCATTCCGTTTTACTTTCTGTACTGGTAATTATTACATCAGCCAATATTTGGAAGGTGTGTATCAATTCAACAAAACCAGAAGATCCCGAAAAGGCCTTTAATGAAAAAAAGTAGAACGGAGCGTTTTCAGATCCTTGTTAGCATAGCTTTGACAAAGGATCTGTATTTTAATCAGACTGTGAAGTGTCCAGCACCGTTATGCTAATAAAAATGTCTTAATAATATTGTCTTCAAACTTTCATCGCATTAAACCTAAATGTTTATAAAAGAACTGGCTCTCAAAGGATAACACACCATAGTGAGTGTTTTGTATATATCAAGATATTTTTTTCTGTACATTTCTCCTTATTTACTCTTTTCTTATAGGTAGGTAGCTGAGTGTTAAACAGTTAAATTCGAGACAAGTGCATAAAGTATTCTGTAGACGTTTTATTCATAAATTTTAAATTATATAAATCGTAAAGCATGTTCGGCAAGAATATACGCTAAAGTTTCCGAAAATTTCAAACAAAAAAATTCATATTGCATTTACCTCTCGGAAGTACTAACTGGCCTTCGAAACTATCAATAAAAGGTCTTTCTCTTCAAAAACCTTAAATGCATTCGAACATCAGCACAGCTACCAATGCAAACGATTCTATAAGCCAATGCATGGATAAATTTCATCTTGCAACAAATCTATGGATTAAGTAAAAGACAATATACTTGAGAGTATCCCACCATGGTTAGAGTCAGTATTCGTTACAGTCATATTTATGAATAGACATTTATAAAACTTTCCAATATTTTGTAATTGTACAAGAACTGAATT